ATGCCACGTGTCCCCAAGCAGCACTAAAGCCCACGTGGGACTAACCAAGACGAGCCAATCAGGAGATTGCCTCGCCCTTGAGCACGTAGAACCGCACACCCACGTGCGCATAGGCGCCGACAGAAACCCAACGCTCCTTGAAATAAAACCACCTCCTCCTCCTTCTCCTCCTCCTCCACTGCTCTACCCTCTCATACCCACCTCATCCTGCTCTCTGGGGTAGTCAAAGACCCGCGCTTTATTTTTATACCTCTGCTGTGACCGACGAGACTGGATTGACGTCCGTAAAAACCAATCGCGTAGAGGGTGGTTGGAGGGGCGACAGTTGAGTACAGGCAATGGCGCGAGAGCGCCTGCCGCCCTTGCGGTTGGGGAGCCAAGGCGGCCAATGGGAGGTGGCGAAGAGTCAGGAGGTGTCGCTGAGAGGATGAAGAGGGGGTGGAGATTCCGAGCAAAGGCTAGCCAATGAGGGGGGCCGATGGGCGTGTCTGGGGCGCCCCTGGCGCCAGCTCTGGGAATCCCCGTGTGCTCAGTGCCGTTTCCGCCCGGCCTGCTGAGGAGGAGCTGTTGGACATTCCCTGTTGCCGCGGAGGGGGAGGGGTTTTGGCTCCTGTTCTGTGGAGCCAAGCTATCTTTCCCGCCTGCCGTCTAGGAAACGCCGTGGCGCCGAGCAGGGCCTAGTGCCGGGGGCCCGGGCAACGGGCCGGACAGGTCAGCCAACGCGGAAGAGAAAGAGTGTGTGTCTGTATGTAGGGGGGACGTGAGTGGAGCGCAGTTTTGAGAGGAAAGCCTATGGAGGGGGAGGGGCGGGAAACTTAGAAGGGGCTTCTCTGGGACCTTCCCTCTGTTTCCTTGCCCAGCCACCTTCCTTGAAGTTTCTACGTCCTTCTCTTGAAGTCTCACAGTTGCCTCCCACACCTCGAAACAAGTATCCGTTTATAGACGTCGCGTGGAGGGGTTTCCGAGTGTGGGATGATGGAGAGTGGGGGTGGGGGTGGGGAGAGGAGAATTGAGGCTGGTTCTTCCAGGGGAAATGGTGCCCCTCGCATTTTTGTGGTGGAGGTGGAGAAGGAGGAGGAGGCAGAAAAAAAGGTCGTGCTCTTCTTCTGCCTGACATCTCGGATTCTCTGCAACTTCGCAGAGGCGTCTGAAGGGTTTTTTTTTTAAAAGGTGTTTGTAGGTATGAATGCTTGTAAGGAAAGGGATGAAGGCGATGGAATTGGGGTTCGAGGGGGGGGTTACATAGGAGAGGGAATCCCCGCCGAGCTCTGCACGTAGAGAAGTCGGAGGGGTGGGGGGTGGGGCAGCCCTAGGACTGCTTCTCATTTCGCTCCCACCCATCCCCCCACCTTCGTTATTGCACGGGTTGGGGGTGAGGATGAACTTGCCCGGTGCCAGGCGCTGGAGGCGAACGGGGGCGTCATGGCGATCCTGTTCTGTGTGTCTGGCCTTGGGGGATGGGGAAGTCAGGGATTGTGTTGGGGGGGGAGGGGAGGGAGAAAGAGGGAAGCAGTTAGGGAACCTAATTAATGCATCGTATTTGGGTTCTCAAGCAGGATTCTCTCGGTGCAGTGTGAGGAGGATTGGGGGGGGAGGTGTGTGAGGGTGGGAAACAGCCAGGCAAATCTTTTGTGAAAGACCTACAATGAGAATGTGGGAAAATCCCTTTCTGGGACGAGCTTCTACTTCAAAGCAGCTGTTTGCTAGGAAAGTGTGTATGTGTGCGTGCGCACGCCTGTCTGCACTCCTGTGTGAGTTCACCATTGCCTCCCTTCTCTTTCCATCCCTCCTCCTCCATGTGCTGAAGCAGCTTCCCCTGAGCTGCTCCTTCCCTTTCCCACCCCCTCCCTTTCCTCTGCTGTCTGCTTCTGACTTGCTGGCTCCTTCAGGCAATGGGGGAGGAGGTGTTTGACCTGCATTTTCTGCTTTCTCATGGTGCTTGTGTGGCGGTGGTGGTGCACTTTAATAATCCTCTTCTCCTTTCTCTTGCTTGCCCTTTCGAGGCTGCAGTATGGATTCTCATTGTATGACACATGTGTGTTTTATCTGTAGACATTTTCAGTTTTCCTGTCTTGACCCCAGATCCTTGCCTTGCAACACAGCTCTTTGTAAACACAATCATAATGCTAAGGCAAAGTCATCATATCCCCTGTCTACATCAGCTTGTCCTTGGGGTGCTACTGGCCTGTTACATGAAATAAAGATCTCTTATATTGTGGGAGGTTTTCTTTCTATATTTGAGACATATGGCTTGTTTGATAATCACATGGAAATGGTTTATTGGGATAGAAAGTGCTGAGCTTCTTCCCTGAAGATAACATAGACGTGAGATTTGGGTTTGTTCAATTAGCTAGTTGTCGTTTTAAGCTAAAACTCCCATATTCCATGAAATCTCTGTACAGTAAAATGTAATGAAATAAGTAAATGAGATCCTTTTTGCTGAGGCTGGTGTCACTTTAAGGAGACAATGGCCATTGCAGGGTGGCTTCCCGCAGTTTTTCTCCCTGGCCCATTATGTAATTTAAGGTTCAAAGGCAGAGGCAGAGGGGGAGTAGCAGAAAAAATAGATTTTGGCTTGATGGGGGATGAGCTGTGGCCTCAAAACTCATTTTGGCAGCTGATATATATTCTAGATTGTAGAAATATTTTCCAGATGAGCTCTTTGTGGAGACTTGGAATATGGGTTACAACATGACAAAGATGCAATATTTCCTTAATGGCGTGCTGGACTCTCCCTTTTCACCTATGAAGATGACATCAGACACTCACCCTCCCTCTCTCACAGACAGAGCTGGTCCAGGAAGTCAGGTTTTGCTAGCTACTACTTGCAGCACAGAGGTGACTGAGGGTGTTACTTTGCCTTGGATCCTGTGGGCGAGCATTCAAGGTGGTGACAAACAGCTAATGTTGGCTCTAGAGCTCTGGTTGCTATGTGAGATGCTTCAGTAGTGTTGGTTGCTGTCTCCAGGGAAGGGCAGCAGCACAACCTCCATTAGTGCTGTACTTAGGAGATGGCTGATTCACACACTGAAAGGGGACTTCTCTTTCTGGGACATGAAAGCTTTGAACCAGAAGGATGCAAGTCTAGCTCAGCTGCTACAATTTCTGGCTGGTCTCCCATCTTAGGGACTGCAGTGGGATGTTGCCCAAAAACTCTCACCTGTGTAATCTGAAGGTTTTGCAAATCCAAGACAGTGAGAATTGATCAGATCTTCCTGAAATGAGAGAGGTCCAGCCTTGGTTTGTGACTCCAGATTCTGTTTGAGTCCACCCTCATTTTCAGAAAATCAGAAAGCCTAATGCTTGTTTATTTGTAGTTCTCGTTCTTCCATTTTCTGGGTCCCACTTACCTCAGTGATAGTAATTTCTATTTTGTGCAGTGGGTGTGTATAGCAGACAACAGTTTCTAAAAGTGAAGGTGATTTTCTTTTCATGGATTAGATTCTAGAATCAAAATATGAGACATTTTGCCTTTGCAAGTGGCAGCAGAGCACTTTCTAAGGAATTACATCTTCTAGTTAAGTATCTGGACAAAGCATACATTGAGCTGCTAAACAGGGTGGGTAAAATAAATGATTTTCAAAAAATCTAATTGATTCAAATAATTATTTAAATAAAAATGATTTTTAAAAAATTTAAATTGTAAAACAATTTGATTTTTAAACATTTAAGTCATGATTTAAATCAAAACCATACTGCTGCTAACACAAGTTAAATGAAATACAGTATTCCGTATATAATTAGAACACAATGGGATTCTCTGATGCTTTAGTCTTAAAGGGGTTTTCTACTCAGAGAGGTAGAAAGCCCTGCAGTACAGCCTTTCTGAGGAGTTAGTGACAATTGCTTGGGGAAGTCCATACTCTCAGTGGCACCCCCTTGTGTTCCTGATGTATAAGCAGGTCAGACGTTGGGATGTTCTTCCAGTTGGTGAAATATGATTGATAGTGTGAGGGGAGCAGTGAAGAAAATGGTGCTCAATTTTAAAAATACACACTAAAATAATCCATGTCTCTCGAGTTGGAATAATGCTGTTTCTCAGGTATTCTGATTTCTTGATCATGGAGGAGATTTGTAATATTGTAGCTTTCAGAACCCTAAATTACAGGTTATACATGCTTCAACAGATTTATACAAAGAGAACATTACTATATTTTGCTTCATTTAGAGTTGGTGATTTACACTGATATATTTTTAATGTTTCTCAGGAGGTGTCAATGCAGTAACAGACTGTAGAGATTCAAATTTAAAGTGTTTTACCTTCACTGCTTTTTACAACATAGGACTTGTCTGTAATGAGTTTTGGCAGAGTTCTGTTTGATTATGAAAAATGATATTTGTATTACTATCCCAGGTGCTGGATGCAAATGGCTTTACATGAAAATTGATCCTGAAAAGTAAATCGGGCTATAGAAATCTCATGATGAGTCTAGAACTAGTTTAGCATTCTGAGAGCTCTGATTGAGTTTTTAGACACTAGCTTAACATTTTAGGAACTCTTCTAATAGAATACCTTTGTTTTTCCAGCTATGTGCAAGAGCCTTCATAGAGTTGCTTGAACCTTGAGTTTCAAAAGTTGTACTTGGTTCTAAGATCATGAATGTCATTTTTACCGAAAGATGTGTGTTGATTCAGGTGCTGCAATCTGTAATTTACCCTTAAAGCCACTTCTTGAGTACCATCACTTCTGCTGGCCAGGATTTCTGGGAGTTGAAGTCCAAGAACATCTGGAGGCCCAAGGTTGGGGACCACTGCTTAAAGCCACTTCTTGAGCTCAATTGGAAATTAGAATTTGGAGTAAGGAATTTGAAGTTAGCACCTATATGCCTAAAACAGAGATAAAACAATACACAAAGAAAGCAGATGGAATCAGAAATATGTGTCCATATTTCCCTGCTCCAAAAGCAACAGCAATAGAATGTTCAGATCAACAGAGATTTTGGCCTTTACAAATACCATCGAAAGACTGACAGACCATATTCTGTTCAAACATAATTAAATGTGGCGTGATTTAGTTCTCTCTTGTCTAATCACATTCAATGACAACTATAAGTTACCAGTGTCAGAAATAAGATTGTGGACTTCAGGGGTCTTCCCATGTACTGTAGCATCTCTTTTGCATTTCCTTAAAAATAACATTAATGATGCCTTACAATCACCAGTCTCCTTCCATACGGTTCCTCTAACTTCAAAGGCAGGTGTTCTAAAACATGACAGGTATGCAGCAAAGAGTCTGTGATTGTTGCATTAGAGTGGAATGGGCATTTGTGAACAAATGTTTTAGAAGCGGCTTATGGGTGCCCGCTTGAATGGGATTTTAGCCTTTTATTGCACTTCAATTTTATGATCTTGTTGCAAACTATAGTTTTCCTTATTCATAATGAAACTATTTTGCTACATCAGGCTAAGACCAAATTGAGATCATAGCTCAACAAGAAGACTACTCTCCTTTGATTAACTATTGCCTGATCATTGTTGCCTTTTAGCAATTCAGTGGAATTGTGCTGTTCTTTGATTTTATACATTTTATTAAATGAAATTTCAGTTTAGAGGCCATGCTAGTAAGGCTGCCTGCACATAGATTCTCAATATTCTTAGTAAATTGTTCTTGAATACATATTTTGAGTACTTTACATTATGAAACTGCCCTTATATAAGCTGCATCACAATGAAGTGTCAAGGATTTTTTGTCAGCTCCTTATAAATGTGTA